TTTTACTTGAAATAAACAAAACTTGCTGCTTGATCCATCACTGTTCCCACCACAAAGAAGGCATAGAACTGAAGCAGCTATTTTAACAGCTAAGTGACAGTGTTTTTCTGTTAAAAATTGAAGGCTAGATACTGCCCTCCTCCCGTGGCTTTTAAATCCAGGAAAAAGTGTATAAGGCAATACCCCAATTAACAATCTTTATAAAGAGAGATTCTTTTCTTTTAGTAAGCCTGATTCAAAAAATTATTCATGTAATATTAACATATACATATGAATAGATAGTGGGCAATTGTAATAGTCTGCAGAAAAAGATTATCTTGTTCTGACTGAGGATATAATGAAGAAAAATCAGAATTCTGCAAGCTGAACAGGGACTAGAAGATGGGAAGATTATAAGATGGAGTCTGAACTTCAGACTCCAGTTAAAGAGAATGAGAAAGAATCCTGCATTAATAAGGGACTAAGGGAAGAGCCTTGGCTTTAAAGCTGCCAGATGAAAGCTTGTACTCACAGAGAGTCAGAAAGTTCTCTTCAGTACCATTTGGTTCTCCATCATGGCAGAGAGAAAGAGTAGCCCCAATAAGATGTTTCTGTTGTTGTTGTCTGTTTAGTTACTAAGTCATGTCTGACTCTGCCATCCCATGTACTACAGCATACCAGGCTCCCCTGTCCTTCTTTGTCTCCTGGAGTTCACTCTAACTCATGTCCATTGAGTTGGTGATGCTATCATAATAAGATTAAGACAACATTTTCTCCTGAATTTTGCTTTAACTTCTACAGTCTAATTTGTAGTTACTAGCTATGAAGATGGCCCGCCACTCCAGTACTCTTGCCTGGAAAATCCCATGGATGGAGGAGCCTGGTGGGCTGCAGTCCATAGGGTCGCTACGAGTCGGACATGACTGAGCGACTTCACTTTCACTTTTCACTTTCATGCACTGGAGGAGGAAATGGCAACCCACTTCAGTATTCTTGCCCAGAGAATCCCAGGGACAGGGGAGCCTGATGGGCTGCCATCTATGGGGTCGCACAGAGTCGGGCGCGACTGAAGCGATTTAGCAGCAGCAGCTATGAAGACTTGTTGATTACTTCTTGTGAGACAAAGCACTTGGAGAAGTTGCAGGTGAGAGACAGAATTAAAAAGCATAGTTGGAGAGAAGATTCCCAGGGGGCATTAGTAGTAAAGAATCCTCCTGCCAGTGTAGGAGGATGTAAGAGATGCAGGTTCGATCCCTGGGTTGGGAAGATCCCCTGGAGGAGGAAATGGCACCCCACTCCAGTATTCTTGCCTGGGAAGTTCCATGGACAGAGGAGCCCAGCAGGCTACAGTCCATGGGGTCTCAAAGAATCAGACACAACTGTTGGAGAGAAGGGCAAGCACTACAAGGAGTTTTGAGACTTGACCATTTGTGGGTTCATTGTGGTTTGCCCTATTTCCAGGGTATGTTGAGGAATGCTCCCTAAAGTAGGCACTGTTGGTTATAGTGGTTATTCAGAGCCTTTCTTGGGATACCTATGGAATCTGTGATTAAGCCAACACATGAAACTAGCAACTGATGCCAAGAGAGATGTTCCTTTTGGCTCAGTAAATAGCTCTGTTTAACACATGTTGGCTGAGCCTGCCAATAGTCAGCAATGATGCACTGGAATTTAAAGAAGGAACTTCTACTGAGAGTAAAGTCACATAGAAAGCTTTCCTGAAGGTCCTTGGTCAGCTCAAGAATTGTTTTTGCATGGCACAGGGAGAAGGAATCTTGAGCAGCTCTGACCTTTTATTCATCATGATGAATGGACCATCCCTGTGTACATCATTGACTCTCAAACCATTTGTTAAGCTCTTATTAATACAGTACTCCCTTTCCAGTGGGCACAAAGTTAGTTAACTGGGCACTCTTATGAACTGTTGGCAGGAGGATAAATGACTACAGTATTTTGGTAGACAATTTAGGAATATGTATCAAAATTTAAAAAGCATGGCATCAGTTAGGGTCCTGGCACAAAACAGATGGCGCTTCTAAACAGGGTATTGAGAACACGCATGCAGTAAGAACTTAGGGAAACTGACAAGGGCTGGTACAATACCTGAGACCAGCCAGAGTGAGGAACCATTACCGCCTTAGGACTGAAGGGGCAAGAGGAGGGAGTGGTTAAGAGAACTTAGAGCTGTATGGAAGGGTACCCTACCTGCGCTGAGACCTTGGTAGAAGGATGCAGCCATATTTTGGTAGAAGAATGTGCTGGTAGTAGGAGTGCTGGGAGAAACAAATACCTCAAACTCACTTTCTTCTCTTCTTGCAGTCTCTTGTCAGCATCTCCCAGCAGCAAAATTGACCAGAAATGATAGGTAAAGAAGTTCATGCAGTCGATATGAGTCATCCTTCTCAGGCAGGATTATAAAGGATGGAGAGTGAGTCTTCAGGGACAAATAAAACATCTGGCACATGAATATACCTTTTGACTCAGCAAGCCTATTCTTACAATGCTTTCTAAAGAAATGTTTCAACAGGTTTTCAGAGATAATCAGTATAGTATTTATTCAGAATAGAGAAAAACTAGAAAGGACCTAAATGCCCACTAATACTAAGGGTACATTCATATTATGGGATACTATGTAGCTATTAGGAAAAATAAGATAGAATCAATATGGGCAGATATGGAAGCATCCAAAAAGTATGGTTGTGTAAAAAAAATGTGAAACCAGCAAAAAACCCATAAGCATCAATATATACATATAAATATTTACACACAAACTTGATTGGGGGTGAGCCAGCAAAAAGGAAATTTTGTTTTTCCTAGATATATTTGTATTGTTTGAAATGTCTCATGAACATATTTATATATTACTTGTGTAACTAGATAAACCAATAAGACAGTGCAACTGAATAACTTAGACATAAGTTGTAAATTCCTAGTGAGCAGAAACTAATTCCCTCCTTAATGCCCTTTCTTCCTGTCCTTCTGTCTTTCATGGGGATTGAGAGTCTTGATGTTCAGTTTTAGTTCTGCCTCTTGCCAAGTCAGTGCTCAGAAAACCTGGGGAATTAGGAAATCTAATTCTCCTTCAGCCTGGTGGCCATAGAATATGCTCACTGGGCTGTTTCCTTTCCCTTTGACCTTTGCTATCTTAGCTAGTTTGAAACCCAACCACATTTTATTAAGACTTCGGCAAAATGCAGAAAATGCACACTGACCCGTGTCCATGCTGGAGCTGAAATTTTAGACCTTCTGATCTGAGCCTCACATCTTCTCTGTTGCATATTAACCTGTTTCTTCATCTCTTTCCTATTTCCTGATTTCTCAGGTCTTCCCATTTGGCATCCACAAAGTTTGAATGCTCTAACTTACACCATTACTTGCTGTTGTTTCATCCTGGCATTTTAAAAACCGCACTTCTGGTAGTTTGCCCCAGTGGCTGGATGGATAAGCCACTATGTGCTGCCTTAGCTGACAGCATTGCCTGGTCTGACCTCATTTCCTCCCTGCTCTATGACTCTGACCCCAACTAGGTCCAGAGAAGTCTTTGCATTGGTTTTCTAATGCACTAAGTTGTCTTTGCGTCTGCAGGCCTGTCCTGGACCCAGATAGGCTGGTTAGAACCTGCCCATCTTGCCTGGCTCCTACTGATGTTCTCTCACCAAAGGACTTCACCTAGCTTCCTATATGTCCAAGTTCTTCTGTCATAGTCTAAATCAAGCAGCCCACCTGGACCTACTTGCCACCAATTCTTAAGTTTCATCATTATCTCAAAATGTGGTTCCATCATTATCTCAAAATGTGGTCCCTAGACCAGCAGTATCAATATCACCTAATATTTATGAGAAATACAAATTCCTATATATTCTTATATACCCAGGAGTATAGATATCGGAATGCAGTGTACTTATAGTACTTTTCTCACTGATTTACACATCTCTTCAACTTGCATTTATTGAGTATCTATTATACACTGTGCTGAGTGCTATGGGGAGATAAATAGGAAAAAAATACAGGGCACCCCAGCCTGATTCTGCTGCCTTCAAGGGGCTTCTAAGTTGTTTTGAAAGATGAGACATTTATATGAAAAAAGCAAATGACAATACAATAAAAGACAGTGTGTGCATGCTCAGTCAAGTCCAATTCTTTGTGACCTCATGGACTGTAGTCTGTCAGGCTCCTTTGTCTATGGAATTTTCTAGGCAAGAGCACCTGAAATTATAGTGGTTTGCCATTTCCTCCTCCAGGGGATCTTCCCAACCCAGGGATCAAACCCATGTCTTCTGGGGCTCCTGTGTTGGTAGACTGATTCTTTACTTGAGCCACCTGGGAAGCCAAAAGACAATAGCAAAAACAAAATACAATAACAGAAGCTCAGAAGACTGAGTGATCCCAGTGGATTGGAATGGTCTTAGGAAAGGTAGGCTGAGGAAGGCTGGTAGGATTCAGACTGTAGTCTGAAGGATATTCCAGCCAAGAGACACACATATGAAATATGCAAGTGTGTTTATAGAATGATGGATAAGCTAGGATTTTCAAAGCAGGAAAACCAGCAACCTTGAGCTCTCAGATCTATCTACGGGTCACAAACACTGCTAGGACTTCTTTTACTTTCTCACTCATAGTTTGGTTCCTGAGCACTCAAGCCCTTTGCTTGCCAGGTATCCACCCACTGACCAGAGCCAACTGCTTACCTCTCCCTTAGGTCATCTCTGCTGGTAAGATGCATCATCTTCCAATTAGCTTTTTTTCCCTTCCCTTATCTCACTCCGGCTTCCCTGGTGGCTCAAACAGTAAGGAATCCACCTGTAATTCAGGAGACCTGGGTTCGATCCTTGGGTTGGGAAGATCCCCTGGAGAAGGGCATGGCAACCCACTCCAGTATTCTTGCCTGGAGAATTCCACAGACAGAGGAGACTGGTGGACTACAGTCCATAGGGTCGCAAAGAGTCAGATATGACTGAGCAACTAACACTTTCACTTCTACTTACTTACTATCTCACCCAGTTATTCTTTGGGATTTATTCATGTTCTTGGAGATTGCACTAGGGAAGGCTCAAGTTCAGTTCTCTTTGCTCCCTCAGTTCAGTTCAGTCACTCAGTCATGTCCAACTCTTTGCAACCCCATGGACTGCAGTATGCCAGGCTTCCCTGTCCTTCACCAACTCCTGGAGCTTGCTCAAACTCAGGTTCATCGAGCCAGTGATGCCATCCAACCGTCTCATCCTCTGTCATCCCTTTCTCCTCCTGACTTCAATCTTTCCCATCATCAGGGTCTTTTCCAAGGAGTCAGTTCTTCGCATCAGATGGCCAAAGTATTGGAGTTTCAGCTTCAGTATCAACCCTTCCAGTGAATATTCAGGACTGATTTCCTTTAGGATGGACTGGTTTGATCTTTACTCCCTATCTGGCTGCATAATTTGAAGCAAGTGGTATTCTTTGGCTGTCTGCTTCTAGGGTTGGAGTGTGTGTGTGTGTGTGTTGGGGGTGGTGGTGGTAAACCATAAGTTCCAAAATTTTACACACAGTCCTTCCTTTGGGATCAAGAAATTCCTCCACTCATGGAGCCCCAGGGCCTGCCTAAACACCTCAGGGCTTCCTGAGGTTTGCAGGCAAATTAGACCCAAAGAGTGACACTAGATGACACAATTTTTATTGGGGTTTGAGTACTCATAAAAATAAATGCACATAGCATTTAGAACCACCCCCAAGGGACTCATTTTGAATATCTCGTCTCGGAAATAATTAATAGGTATTAGAGTTGAATATTTTAAGAAACTATTTCAAGGAAGGTTGCTTGAGTTTGTTTGTTTTTCCTTTCTCAAGGACATTGTTGTACTCTGTGTAATTGGAAAATTAGATATGAATGTGGAGAATAAAAAGGATCAATGAGGGCTGTGAAATGCCAGAAGGGCAGAAGGAGGAGCAGCTAATGGCTGGGGTTGTTATATAGGCTTACACTGGGCAAGTGCGGTTTCCTTTCTCAGAAGAGCCAATAAATTAGGCTTTGGAAAGAGAAAACAAGCAGGTGAGGGTGTTTGGGTATTGGGGGCTGCTTTGCAAATATTTTAAGTGCTGTATTTTTTTAATTATTTATCTTTTCCAGACACATCACCTTGGTACTATCATTTATATGGCTTTACCACTGACAAATGATGTCTAGATAGACTGGGCTCCTCTGGTAGAAATGTGCCAGAAACTAGAACTCAGGCTTCCATGAGGACTTTCAACCAGAGAGAACCAAGATCATCTTGGGGCTGGAATCAAAATGAGACCCACTGTGTTCTTAGTCAGCATTGCCCTATGTCCTATAGCAGTCATATTGTGTTGTGCTTCTAATGAATCAGCTTCTATGCAACCAAATGTACCTCCTTTCCTTCATTAAAAGAAGAAGCTTCTAGAGAGGGAAACAGATGCAGGAGAGCTTCAGCCCATCAGGCAGTTCGAGAGATGGCTGCAAAATGGGAAGATGAGAAATCGAAGTCAATTTGGACCTAAGATGACTCATAATGTCATATGCTCTGAGCCACTTCCCAAAGTCATTAATTCTTACACAGAAGTTGTGATTTGTAAAAGATCAATCTCATTTGCCCTGATGGTGTTCACACTCAGTGAAAGAGGAACCAGTGCCCTGAAAAATGAAACAAAGTCTTAAGTGAAGTCGAGTTTGGGTTTATTGTGATGATGGGTTTTTAAACTCCATTCAGTTTCAGCCTTGAGGAATCAAAAATTTTAAATCAAAGAAAAAACAATCAGATACAAAATATTATCTCTTATAAATATAACTTTATTTTAATATATTTATCTATTCAAACTGTGAACTTCTCCAGATAGGGGTGTGTTTCATTCATCTCTATAAAGCCAGGCAATAGCCCAGAGCGGGCCACTTAGAAGATGCTCAATAAGAACACTCGTATCAGTTGAATAGTAGTTAAGAATGTCAGGCAGAAAACATGCAGAGCCCTTGCAAATGTTTTGCATAGAAAAAGTTCCCAGGATCTACCTGATGCTAGATTGAGCATCTGGGCTAAATCCTTGATCTTGTGAAGGTCGAAATTTTGGGCAGTTGGAAAAAGAATCTAGAGTGGGAGAATTCTGGTGAGTGGAAGTTTAACTTTTCCACAGTCACTCTAAGTGTTGTTTTGCAAGCTTATCACTTTCAGATTTACTGTGGGCTCCTTAGTATATTGACTGGGCTTGTCAATATCTAGAAAGAAAGCTGTTGAACTTACTACTTGTTTACTTCTTGCCTATTCCAAGTGTACTTGAAAGGGTTTATGTAGAGAAAAATGTAAGCAATAATAGGGAAATATCTGATGAGTAGGGGAATGGATAAATGTGTATGTTGAGATAATAGGCTTTCAGTTCTTTGAAAGAAGCCATTCTTTTTCTCCCCCTGGTTCCAGTCTCAGGAAACAATGCATCACAGGGGGCGTTATGTAGGAGTATTAAGTGATAAGTCATGCAGAAGTAAGAGTCACAAGGTTAATCATTTTTTGATAGTCACCTTTGCTAAAAGTTGAAAGTTTAACTATATTAAAAACAATAATAGTTTACTGAAAGCTATTCAACAAGAAACAAAAGATTGAAGGCAAAAGGAGAAGGGGGCGGCAGAGGATGAGATGGTTTGACAGCTTCATCAATTCAACGGACATGGATTTGAGCAAACTCTGGGAGATAGTGAAGGACAGGGAAGCCTGGAATGCTGCAGTCCATGAGGTTGCAAAGAATTGGACATTACTAAGAAACTGAACATCATCAACAAATTCAGCAAGAAACTAGATGCTGGGCTCTAAAATGTGAGGTGGAACTCCCTGGCAGCTAAGGTTCCCAGACCTGGAATTGAACTTGTCTTGCAGTGGAGTCCAGCTCTGACTTTTACCACCCTGGAGATTTTGTGCAAAATAATTCACAAAAGTCTGAGTTTCCTCAACTAAAACTAGTATAATCATGCATTTCCTAGGGAACTGTGATGTTTAAAGTGAGACAGTATGTGAAACATTCTTAATATACTGCCTGGCTATATAATTGCTCAAAAATGTCTTTAAAATTTTTCTCTTAATATATCCTGTGTCTAAGTTGTTTTGGTTAATATTTAGAATACCCTACATAGAGGAGAAACAGTGTGTCCCAGGAATGTTAACTTGGGACATATTATAATTTAGATCTACTAGATTACATTATGAGCTTCCCAGGTAGCTCAGTGGTAAAGAATCTGCCTCCAATGCAGGAGACCCTGGGTTTGATCCCTGGATCGATTCCTGCCTGAAGAATCCCCTGGACAGAGGAGTCTGGTGGGCTACAGTCCATGGGGTAGCAAAAAAGTTGGACACGAGTGATCTACTAACACTTCACTTAAGGTTACATTATGTATTGTGTTAAACTATGTTCTCCAAGCATAAAATCTTTCCTTATGAGCAAGGATACTGAAAACAGTTTATAGAAAATACTTTCAAGGTTAATGCATGTGAATCAACACAGTACTTCAGGATATGGCAACACCATTTTTTTTTTTGGTGGTGGTGGGGGCAACAAGTTGCCCATAGTAACAAGTGTCCTTGCATAACACTGGGCAAAAATCTCTCCAAGGTGCTTGCGTGACTGGAAAAATATCAGCAGTGAAAAAAATAGTAGCGTAATATTCTAAGAACACCTCTTAGGATAAACCTTATTGACTCCAATGTTTTTTGAAAAGTTTTATTTCATTTTAAAAGAACCAGCCTCAAATTAAAGGCAAATATGTCTCTTCTGAGTTGCATTTCATTTTTGTTAAATTGGATTTATTTTCAGCTTTTCTGGTAACCTTGTAAAGAGATCTAATGTCTATTTGTTGTTATGGCCACTGGTTTGTGCTCTGTGTCGGTTATCCTACTATATTTCATCCATGCTGCAATGCCATTGATCGTCAGATATGCCATAACTTTATGTAACAGTAAAATACTGCTATTTAAACTATGGCATACATCTTTCTTATCACCTGGAATTTATATTGGTACTACCACCTGAAAGAGGTCTTTCAGAGTTATGTGAATATAGATTTTATCATATGTCACAATTGTTCATATATAAAAAGGGAAACATGAGTGAAATAAATTGATTAATGCATTCCTAAAACATTTTCACATTTAGAGAAAGTTTGATTCTTTTGACTCACTTCTTGGCTGAAAAGTTATTGATTGATGTCCATGTTTTATTCCTTCACATAGTAATATTCTCTGTGCCAACTAGCACATTGATGATGCAAATGTTTTTTAAAAGTGTGATGCTCTATTGTCTTCATAATTTTATTCCAAAGCATTCTACATATTCTGTAAGCTTTGATTTCACAATATAATGGCCATGGAAGATTGTCAGACAATAAATGACTCATTCTTTTTTTCTTTTAATTAATTTTTATTGACGTATAGTTGATTTACAATGTTGGATTAGAATCAAGTGTACAGGAAAGTGATTCAGTTATACATATACATACATCCAAGCTTTTATGGATTCTTATCCCATATAAGTCATTACAGGGTATTGAGTAGAGTTCCCTGTGTTATACAGGAGGTTCTTATTAGTTACCTATTTTATATTTGTTTGATTTTAAGGTCATTTTATCAAAACACACATATACCCACTACATTGTTGGGATTTATTTAAATTAACTTTTTATTGAAGGATAATTGCTTTACAGAATTTTGCTGTTTTCTGTCAAACCTCAACATGAATCAGCCGTAGGTATACATATATCATCTCCCTTTTGAAACTCCCTCCCATCTCCCTCCCCATCCCACTCCTCTAGGTTGATACAGAGACCCTGTTTGAGTTTCCTGAGCCATACAGCGAATTCCTGTTGGCTATCTATTTTACATATGGTAACGTAAGTTTCCATGTTGCTCTTTCCATACATCTCAACCTCTCATCCCCTCTCCCCATGTCCATAAGTCTATTCTCTATGTCTGTTTCTCCATTTTTGCCCTGTAAATAAATTCTTCAGTACCATTTTTCTAGATTCTGTATATATGTGTTAGAATATGGTATTTATCTTTCTCTTTCTGACTCATTTCACTCTGTATGATAGATTCATCCACCTCATTAGAATTGACTCAAATGTGTTCATTTTTGTGGCTGAGTAATATTCCATTGTGTTGTATATATACCACTACTTCTTTATCCATTCATCTGTCAATGGACATCTAGGTTGCTTCCATGTTCTAGCTATTGAAAATAGTGCTTCAATGAACAATGCAATACATTTGTCTCTTTCAACTTTGGTTTCCTCAGGGTATATGCCTAGAAGTGGGATTGCTGGGTCATATGGTGGTTTTATTCCTAGTTTTTAAAGGAATCTCCATACTGTCTTCCATACTGG